GAGCTCAAAAAACAGCACCAAACAGCCTAAAAAACAACAGTGAACCAGACAAAGAAAAGAAAGACACTAAAAAGCACTCGATTTACAATTTGAAACATTTGCAAACAAAGAACTATCCCAAAACTCTGAAGAGATCAAAGACCTAAGAGATGCAGGAAGCAAACACTTTCCCACAGATAATCCACCTCGTCACCCCTCACATGTCAAATATCTTACTCTCGTCTCCCCCCAAAGTACCCAAACAATAGCCACCACTGCGCATCTTTTAGAACCATACCCTTCTTCCTCCCACCAAAAAACTTATGCCTCTAACAAAAGAAAGCCATACTCAATTGTGATAACCCAACACAAATTGGCCTCCCCAAATAGCTTTAACCAAAGGGGTCAGACAATTAGACTGTGCAGGAAGAACTAGTTCACACTCTCTGCCCCATTTTGCACTTCACACACCATTGATGAAGAAGGGAAAGAGAAGGTCGTCTCCTCTGAACCATATCAACAATCCAGAATACAATCTAAGAGAAGGGTCATAGAATCAATATAACCACAATAAAAAAAATCCTATAATATGACTAAATAAAACAAAATTCAAGCATCTTTATCCTTTGTAAAGTAATTGAAAACTAGATAAAATTCAAACAAAATATTCCATAACTAAAAATCAAAACATATGTCAACATCACAAAATTTATTACAACGTTGTACTATAAGTCAAAGTGCATCCTGAAAATGCACCCAGAAAGCACTTTCAAGTTTCTCTATTTCCACCAAATCCTACCAAAAGTGCACTGACAACCAGGCCTTAATTAAACAATCAGAACTTATTTTAAGCCAACAGACTTATTTAGAAGTCCATAATAATCACCCATTAAACTAATGACTTATTAGCCTATATCAACGACAAATTCTATCATGAAACTTTCTAACTCTAGGTTGATATCCTTAGCCACCATTTTATAATTGGACTAAGCCATTGAGATTAAATAGGAAGACTCCATAGTGTAGTTTAAATAGTTTTCACCAATACTCTGTAGGTTACATTGAGAGGCCTATGATGATTCTACCAAGATTGTAAGTATAAGTATCTGTTATTAATTGAAGACAAGGAAATAATAAAACAAAATAACATACAAAGCAATAAAAAGATCATCAGTTGTCACCTCAACAATAACAAGAAATGACAACAGCAAAGGAGAGGGATGGTACGCTATTTCCAAGTGAAACCTTGGTAGGGAAATTCCTTTGTTCGATTTTATTCTCCTTACTCCTCTCTCCCCTTAATAAAAGAAACATGAAGTTGTTATCGAACAAACTTTCAATCTAGACTCCATGAACTGAAAACATAATAAAATGGGGCCAGCTACAAAGTGGGTTTTCGGCAATGAAGTATGATGCATCTCTAAGAAAGTATGCTTTTTTTTTCTTTAACACCCAACACAACTCTTGGGGTTGTGTCTTCAAAAAATAATCCCCTATGTATTAACACATGTGTGGGTCACCTTATCAACCTAGTGAGGTTAAGGACAAAGCATGAAATTGTATTCACATAGCCTTCCTACCACCGTTACAAATCATGTATATCCATAAGAGTTCTTACAATAACTTGTTATTTATACCCCAAGACCTAACACAGAATACAACCTTGGGAGGCAATACACAACTTCCTCAGCCTTAAAATGCAAATTTGTCATGACAACACTAGTAGTGGATGTGCATACAATGCCAAAATATTTTATTCACATTCAAATGAAAATGAATTTGAAGCTGCAATCAAGTAAGTATATCATTCCGAAGATTGTGGTTATTTTGTTACTGCTATACAAAGAAAGGTTTTTCTTTTTTGAGTTATCAAAGGATGGCTGGCTGAAACCATGTTCCTGATTTTGGGTTGTGGAAAACCTAACATCTTTTCCAGGCTTGATAGTCAAGGAGTTTCACTGTCAAAAATCGGATTCAATTGTGCATAGGATGCAATTCCTATGCCTTTTAAACTTGACTCTCCTCATATGTTCATTGTATTAGTTCTTTTGTCAAAATAAAATAAAAAATTATTGGAACAGTTTGGGAGAAAATTCCAATTAAAATAGTATTTCAAGGTTACAAATGAAAACAGAAAGAACTAACAGACATGAATGAAAGATTCCTCACCTTCTCTTTCTTGAGCTTTATGTTCTTCTCTTCTAGACGCGAAACTTTGCTCACCAACTCGTTATGATATGCCTGAATGGAACCGCATGGATCACGTGGCAAATAGATAAAGCAAAAACCAACATAATTCATACCAAAAAGTAAACAAAAGCACACACTAAATTGTACCTGCTTTCTAGCACGTGAACGTGCAGCAGATTCTCTGTTCTTGATTTTTCTCCTTAATCTTCTCTCAATAGTCTTCTCATATGCATCTGATGCATCCCTTTTCCGCCCTGGCGTTGTTGTATCCGACTGTGTACCAAATGATGGGGATGACGATAACCCCAGGTTATGTGGATAGCTCTGAGGGACGGCCACTTCAATAGTATCAAATGCAATAGCAGGACTCAAAGAACCTTCTGCAAAAAGACCTGCTTGTACTAAGAAGTCTTCTAGAGTTGTTTCACCAAGTGTTATCTCAGTATCCTGACATTTCATGTCCTCCCCATACCTTTTCTTCTGCCCTTGCTGGATCTCTCTCCATACCTCATCAACCGTCTTTCCACTTAAACCTCTAGCCAATGTTAAGCTGGCCTGACGTTGGAGTGAAGATGCTGAGGAGGTGTTCTCAATATCCATCTCGATGGATTGATTTGCTTCAGTAGTCCATATGTTCTGTAGAAGCTCGTCAAGATTCATGCTGCCCAGTGGCTTTCCCGTGTCTCCTAATTGATTTTTAACTTCATCAAGAGTGAGGCTATACCATGAGGGCTGCCTCAACAATGGAGACGGCTGAAAATGAGACTGCTGGCCGTTAGCTTGAGAAGCCATAGTCTGAAACCCCATTCACCAAGCTTTCGCTGCCCACCCAACAGGTCTGTGAACTGCAAAGAAAAAGGCAATAGCTGCAAACCATTAGAGTACAATTTTGCTTAAAGTGAATTGTTTCAGCTTCAATTTACCATTGGGAAAGAGAAAAAAAAATGAAGAAACAAAGAATCATTTCCATAGTGCTTATTGCTTTGCATAAATAATTTATGAGTCTAATACTCCATTTGGGTTGCGAGAAATCTCAAGGGAAATAATGTCCATTTTTTTCATTCAGATTCTAATATTATCAACAAAAAGGATTTAAATGACATAGACCAACGCCACACAACTCCCATGCATTGCTAGAGTGAACCCAAAACAAGGAACAAGAATTCCACTCAGAAATCATTTTCTTCCCATCAAAAGCATGCACTGGGATTTGCATTAAATTAATCAACAACCAATTTGGCAAACCAAGAGAAACAAGAAACAATCAATTGATTAATTAATTAGATGACCATGCAAAATATATGATCCACTGTCACTGTTTTAAATGAGAGTCTTTGATTTATTGACATAAGCAAAATCAACAGAGAGAAGAGTATCAACGACGCGTACCTGTGCGAATAGGAATAATTGGGAATTATTTAGGAGGATCTGATCGGAATCCAAAGAAATAAAAGATAAAAAGGAAAATGACAAAGAAGAAGAAAGGAAAGGCCTTTTTGCTCATTTGGGAGTTACATCAAGAACCCACGGACGTCTCGCTGCTTCCTATGAAACAAATAAAAATTCGAAGACCAAAAAACCCACTCACTCTGAAACGCAAGGGAAACCCAACTGATGTGGTAAACCTCGTACCAAATGAAAACATACACTCGCTTCCTTTTCTTTTGTCATTTTATTTTGGGTCAATTTTAGCTGGAGCCGGTCAGGTTTGACTTCATTGCAATGACAACCCCACTGGTTTCATTAACCACGCATACATCCCACATTTCAACACAGGTGTTGTTAAACGAATGCTAAAGTTAACTGAGTGCATTTTATGATCTAATAATTAAATTAAAATATAAAATTAATTAAGTATACCCTATTTAACCATAAAAAATACCCATAATACACTCTAATACACTATATCACATAACACCCTAATACTAAGTACACCCTATTTTGCAAGAATTGGTCATCTTCATCAAATCTATTCCTGTCAACTCCTTTTTCCTTCATCAAATATAAACCCTCAGGGATTCACCCACTCATTGAACCACATTCATGAGTACTTGGGAAGGTTGGATCATTATTTGATCAAGGAACTTAAAGCCCGACGTTCTCCATTGGTGCGACGTCTGCTGTATGATGGCTTTTTTTCTTTAATGGTTTGTTGTTCATCAGTGCAGTTTGTTTTTAATTGATGTTGTTTTTGTTTTTAGTCTTGTATTTATTCTTGTTCTCTGTTTTGCCTTTTGCTGGCTTGAATGAATCTCAGTTTATGATAAATGAATCTCCTTGAATCATCACATGTTGAATGAATCTCCTTGAATCAAATAACATATTTCTCTTTCAATGATTATGTTTCCACTTTAAAACTTTTTAAATCTTCATGCCCAGTTCAATCGTATAATCAAAATGGAATAATATTTAACGTCATCAGTCTGATGCCTAACAAAATTAATCAATAAATATAGAGTTATTATAATAAGGGTCTACTACACCAGCTTCATATCTAAACTGACATATACGATCTTGATATGGCGTAAGCCAATCTGATGTAGTTATTGTTGCACACCTTAATCAACGCTCATCAATTGGTGGCATAGGGTGTTGACCTACCAAATAAACATGTAAAATCTAAGAACTTTAATTAATCTAGTTATGTGAAAAGAATAGTATGCAAACATATATATATATATATATGCATAAACATCTTAATTGTTTTATCTTAATCTAATGGTTGTGATTAACAAATCCAACAAAAATCTCACAACGATAGATTGAAACTAATGGAGCACTCTCATATGGAAAAAATGTAAGTGACTGATTCACTAACCAAGTCAAGAGGATTACATTATGTGAGGTGTCTCATATTTGGTATAGTCATCCACCTGTCTTGAAGTGGGAAGTCTTCAAAATATTCCAACATATATTGAATATGTTGTTCCCGTTAATATTAACTCATATATAACAGACTCTTTCCTCAACTCCTTCAACAAGTCTCTGCGTACATTGTGCCAAGCATTGTCACCAATCCCCATCAATGATCCAATGGCTCTAAAACCACACTTACCATCACTCTGAACATCTTGTGCCCCTCTAATATGTATCAACATATGTTCAGGAAACCACTTGTTAAACTCTGGTGTTAAGCAAGAATCATCTACAATGGGTTTAGGCCTATAGACCTGCATATAACAATTACGAAAGCTCAAATTACGATATAAATGATAGTATACAAATTTAATATTGTAACTACTTACAAGTAGCTTCGAAGGCAACTTCCTTGGCTTCACAGACGACAATGGTTGTGACTGACTATTTAGAACAATCGATCGCTTTTGGGATATGGTCTTTGGCTTCTTACATGGACGTCTTGTAACAACATTGTTAGTGAGTGTGCACTATCTTGACTAGATAAGGTAACCTCAAAAGCAAAAGGCAAACATCGAGTATATGTGTCAACTTTGGGACAACCTTTGATTCATAATCTCTTGTAACTTCATACTAACCTGTCTCTTTGTCTCAAAACTACACCCTTGAAACCACTCCACAACTAATTGAAACTGTGCATTTTCTATCGAATTGTTCGGTGCAGTAGTAGGTGAGGGCTCCAACAAATCTAACTTCCTCCAATGAGGATCAATACAATCAAGTGGAATGGGTTGATGTGTCCGTTTGAACTCTTACATCTCGTGTGCACATGGCAATCCGTGTGTGTTTTATTATGCAACCACATGATATCAAATGAACCCCAACATAATCTAACCGCTTCAGCTTAACTGTAATATTATCCAACGCAGAAATAGATACAAAACTAATCAACAAGTCTTCTTTCCTGCAATCATGTTGCACAAATGACATACTCTTCTCACATGGCGCATTTATCTCAATGTGTTGCAATTCTATTAAAGGATGAATTTTGTCACACGATGTTCCAAATGTACACATGCTATTACCTAGTCGTTTCTTCAGCTTTGCACGTGCACTCTCAGCCCTCTTTAATGTTGTATTCCCAAAATGCATTCAAGTGTTCATCCATGCAGCCTATGGCAGCAAATATTCCGGCTTCCAATCACAAGGTGCCACATGGACAAGAAGAATATCACCTAGGTCATTAATTCGACCAATTTATTTGGCCAATTAATTGAGACCGAAAATAGGGATATTATCTTTATTTGGGAATATAATCACCAATTAAAGATAATATCACCAATTTGGGATATTAACTTATGTTATAGACATTATCATCAATTAGGGATCTAATCCTAATCGAAATCCCTAATTGACTCAATCTCTCCATTTAAGGGAAAGAATTTATTCCTTCCAAATAGGAATTATTCTTTGAAAAACCCTGGATGGCTAGAACCCTATAAATAATAGCCACATTCAACACATGAGGTAGTCCTAAACCAAATTCCAAAACCCTACGAAACCCCTCTCTCTCCCTAGCTATTGGCCACCTCCATTGTCGCCGGCCACTCACTCTCTCATCTCTCCTACACGACTAAGTACCACCACACACAGCTCCGCCACCCAGCTCTCCCCATGAGAGAAAACTCTGTCCAATTTAGCTATTGCTGTATCTTTTATCAAAGATCCAATTGATCTAACTCAGGCATCGGAGGGCCTTTGGCCAACACCCCCCGGGTGTGGTCTATTTACTCCTATTTATTTCACATGGATCGAGGAAGAGATCCCCACGTCTCACAACCCCACAATTGACACCGTAGCTTGGCCTCACGTTTCTCTAGTTGTGAGTGTCAATCCTCCCCCGTACGGCCCCACGGTCGAGACAGAACCTCATCCTCACGACACCATAATCATAAGAGTGGCAGCAGCCCACGCCACAACATCTCTGCCTAGTCTCGTGGCAGCAAACCACAAGTTGCAACAACATAGCCCCGTGGCTGCCGCAACTTCACAGCACATAGCCTCACGACTGTGCTCGGAATCCACATTTAGCCAACATCCCCCGAGTGTGGTCTTTCTTTATAAGGAATTAACCATCTCTCCTTCTCATAGTTGAGGACAAAATTGTGATCTTCAAAGTTTGTTTGCAAGGCTAGTAGATGTCTTTCATACTCAGCCTTTGTAGTAGATGAAACAAGCATATTCCATGAATCTAAAAATTTGTCTAAACTAGCTTTGTCTTCAAACACAGTTTTGCACTTTGCTAAGACTCCCTTATTAATATGTCATGTACATAATAAATGTCGAACACCTGGAAAGACTTCATGGAGCACATTTATGAGACCTAACTCTTTATCTGTGACAATAACTCTAAGAAAAGATTATCATCCATAACACTCCTCAATCTAGCCAATGCCCATCTATAGTTGTCCTCTTTCTCAGCACTAAGATAAATAAATGCAACGGACAATGTAAGATCTGTGGATGTCACCCCTAAAATCTCTAAAAGTGGATAGCGAAACCTGTTTGTCTTGTACATGCAATCCATTATCAAAATATGAAGAAATGTGTGCAGTAGCTTAATGCTAGTAGGGTGTGCATAAAATAAATCACTTACAATATTAGTAGTACCATAGCTTCTATGTCACTCTACATACTCATGGTCAAACAACTTTCGTAGCAATACATGCATCTCTAACATACATGCTTTTCAGTCACCCTACTTTTTTGTTTGGCATTGTAGATTGTCTTCATTGTGCTCACATTCAACCCATCTCTACATTTAAGAGTATATAATATATCCTTTGGCCTAGCCAAACTCTTAGGCATGTCAACCACTTGTAAATCCTCTTCCACAGTTAATCTCCATGCATATGAATGCCCTTCCATATCTAGTGCTGCGGGATGGTCATGAACTCCACTTACAACCTCAAGTTGTCATGCATCTCCAAGACCACTGTCCACACCCTTCAATGAAAAAGGGCAACCACACTTCTTCATGCCAGTAAACTTCACTTTTTCTTTTCTTTGAAAGGTTTGAACTTTGACCAAGGTTATGTACTGTCTTGTTATCTGATTCTAGAACTTTTGTCTTCCTAAATTGGCCACCCCTCTCACAACATAACATAATCCGGCCGGTCTTGAATTTACGAGCTCCTGCAATATCATACCTTTTAATGATAATCACAAAGTCATTCCTTTTCCCTTGTTCATGAGTCCATCTTATTAATGCATCATGAATAACAAATATTTGTAAAATCACTAACAATTAAATTAAGGCTTATTTATGTACATGCCCCCTGTGCTTTCAAAGTTGTCTCAAATTACCATATGTGCTTTGAAACGTCTCAAAATACCCCATACACTTTTAAAAACTGTCTCACGTTACCCGTTCCATCAGTATTAAGAGACGTTCAGTTACGTGGTGTGGGCCCCACTTCTTTTAAATCACTTAACAATTGAGAGTAAGGGTTATTCAATTTCAGAAAAGGGAAAATTGGGAGAAGAGGGCTAGGGTTATTCAGTTCATCACTCATCCACTCTGAAATCTACAGAGCATGGTTGTAGCAACAATACCCTCGGAGCCGCTTGATGAAACCTTGGAGCTCGAGCTGCTTCACGTCTCCCCCTTCAACCTGTCATTAATTGAGCACTGGCAGAATGGAATCCCTAGGGTTTCGAATATGCCAAACCCTACTCTGCAGAAGCTCAAATGGGGGTGATGAGGAGGAGGGCAGCACCTCAGAGCACTTCCACCAGTTAGCCCCTTGCCACAGCAAGGGGAGCCCTAGGGCGGATACTATTCATGTGAATAGTGGCTGCCCTAGCCCCCCAGTAAAGTGTGTTTCCAGCAGTTTAGGCTTGCCATGGCAAATACTATTCATTTTTTAATTTTTTTTTACAACTTTGTTTACTTAAAAATTTGATTTGGATAATATTTTCGGATAAGATTTTTGGGTTCCTATGTGTCAATACTATTCATATCGGATAAGATTTTTGGTTTCAAATTTCATATAAATTTCAAAATTCAAAATTCAGATAAATCAATACAACTAATAAAATAAAATACATGAATGACCACTAATTATTAAAACAAAACAAAAAAACACAATGAAATGAAAGGCAAGCAAACTAAGAAATGAAAGGCAAGATTTTATTTTATCGGATAATATTTTTGGATAAGATTTTATTTTATACAAATTTATAAATAAACCCAATCCTAGACATGTATTTATAAAAAAACCCAAGCACTATTTAAACATAGAAACACACCCAAAATCAACCCCAAAGTCAACTTTTTGGGTGTGTTTATAAATGAGTTTTGAGTGTGTGTAATGATGAGTTTTGGGTGTGTTTATAAAGTGTTTTGGGTGTTGAGTTTTTTTATAATTTCAATCTCCATTTTGGGTGTTTTAGTGAAACTCCCTTTATTTTATTAGTTGTATTGGTTGGTATTTATAGAACGAAAAAAAAAGTATGAGGATTTGGTGTTAAAAGTGAAGAGTATTGGTTGGTATTTATAGACACTGGCGGACCCGGAATTTTTTTTAGCGGAGGTGCAATATTGACTAAGTATGAAAAATGGTTTTTCGGAATAATCTCAAGATAATTTTTGGCGGCTTTTATTCCTTACACATTAAATAAGAAAACTTGATTTTATGGGATTTTAATATAAAGTATATATTGACTTAATGAGCCATCATTTTTAGCCTAAATCTATTTTGCACTAAAACCGATTTTTCATATTTTGATTTTCTAGTATTTTTATTTGAATCCAAATGGGGGATACTTCCTTATTTACATTGTAAACTCAAGTAAATGGAGTAATATAAAAATAAATAAAAGTAAAAGGGCAAAGACATTTACTTAAATGTTGAAAATGGAAATAAGGTATAGAGAGAAGAAAAAAAAGTATTTTTTTGGTATTTTTTTGGATTTTTTATTACAAAAATATTCGCTGCCGTTGGATTGGAGCAAAAATTATGACCAGAGAGCCCAGGACACGACACATGGCACGTAATTGTTGGCGGACACTGTAGCGCTGGCATCACAACGACGTCAGCAAGAGCCAGCCCTGGCTGGAGCTCGGGCCAGCCCGTTTTGCTGGGTCCCACCATCTTGCCCGGGCCTGCCTCCACTGCTGGAAACGGGTTTTTACCCCAAACCCCCCCAGCCCTCCCCCAAACCCCACTGCTGGAAATGCTCTCAGTGGAGTAGAATAGTGCACCAAAAATCCTAAACAGATTTTCATAAGGCTGCTGGACAGATTTTCATAAACCCTACCCTCTTCTCCCAATTTCCCCTTCCCACCAAATTTCCTCTTTTCTAAAATTGAATAACCCTTATTCTCCATTGTTAAGCGATTTAAAAGAAGTGGGGCCCACACCACGTGAGACAGTTTTTAAAAGTATAGGTTGTATTTTGAGACGTTTCAAAACACATGTGGTAATCTGAGACAACTTTGAAAGCACATGGAGCATGTACATAAATAAGCCTCAAATTAATCTATGAAATTTAAAAATAAATATATAAATATTCATTACTTTACCTCATTTGTGATAAATTCGTTTGTGTAGTCTAAAACACATTATTTGTTGTGTCTTGCTTCGATGAATTTTCTAGATGCGGTGACCACATTCATCGTGAAAAATACTTTGTTTGTAGCCCTACCGCTTCTTTCCAACACTATCATGTCACAGTTGGTTGAGTTGAGCATTTAGAACATAATTTTCATGTGGAAATTAATTGAAGGCATTAATACAAAGTAGATCCACAGGGAATTTTCCCAGTGTTCCCAACATTAGATTAAACTTTTGTAAATTGAAAAACCAAACACGTGAATAATAATTGTATTTCTCAATTGATATGATGTATTAATATTGGGACCACTTCAGTTAAAAATTCAAATCTGTTTGGAATCAAACTCTAAAATTCTAATTTGATTATGGTTCAATATGTTCAGTACGGTGTACTTATTAAAATTACTTTTGTTTCACAATTCCATATATCCTTTTTTGTCATTTTATATTAGGGTAAATTAGTAATTCAATAAATAGTTTGGTAGTAGGGTGTACTTAGTTAATTTTAGGGTCTATTTACTCCTATTTATTTCACATGGATGGAGGAAGAGAGAGAAGGAAGATCAAAAGTTGAGAAATCAACCTGCAAACATTCCCTATGCGGAATTTTGCTCAAACATTTTGATACTTTCATTGAGAGCACGAGTTATATAAAGGAATTTGTTTCCTCCTATTCATCACTCAACCAAAGCCTTCCAAACAATCATGGTTTGAAGTACACGAATAAGAAGTGAGGTTGCCACGATAACGTGATCCGAGATAGGCCAAAGCCCCACGTCTCACAACCCTGCAATCGAGACTGTGGCTTGGCCTCATGGTTCTCTAATTGTGAGCATTGGTCTTCCCATTCACGGACCCACGGTTGGGACAACACCTCCTCTTCACAACACCACAATCATGAGCGTGGCAGCAACCCACGCTGCCGTATCTCTGCCTAGTCCCGTGGCCTCAAACCACGAGTTGCAACAAGGCTCTATGGCAAAAGTTGTGGTACAGCCTTACGGCCCCATGGCTACCACAACTTCATAGCACATGGCCTCACGATCTTGCCTGGAATCCACCTTCATGGCCATTCTACCGCCATCACAAGTTATGGCCCGATCTTGGAGCAACATCATTCATTCCCTTCTTTGCTGCCGTGCTCAATGTATGCTATTGTGTACACGTCCAACGAAACCCTAACCCGTGTGCAATTAGGCTCCATGCAATTCTATCCTTTCGATCCAAGAAGTCAAGCACACCTTAGTCTTAAAGTTGATAAGTTAACTCAAAGAGTAAACGACCAAAACAACTTGGTTGGATAGCTCATCAACCAGATAGACTTGGTCTGAGACCTTGGCCTTGGACCACAAGGCGAAGAGAGTAGGATGGACAAATGCACCGACATGCAGTTTGAGAGGTCCCAGGCAAGTAGAGCAGGACTGAGCAGGCGAGGAGAAGGACAAGAACAAGCTGCTCAGCACGCAGGCATGTCACAAGCCCTGCTCAAAGTAGATAAAGTCCTTGTTCAAAATTAGACCCAAGGATCAACGTAAACGAGAGGTTGGGCCTATGATTCGATGTTCATACTGACCTAGGCCCACAAAGAAGGGTTCATGAGAGACTAGGCCTTCAGGGTGGTCAGTTTATCCACCCTCGTCATGAGGTATGTGAAGAAAAGCGCTCCGTAGCCTACTCCTAAAGAACCAATTCAAGTCGACAAGCCACATAAAATCTCTCACAGACACAGTCCACCAATACACCATATGGGCAAGACAGTCGAGAAGGTCAACCTTCACGAGTTAGCGAGGAAGTTAATCAACAACGCCCGCATTGTGAAAAAATTTGGCGTGGACCACTTATCTTGTGAGTAAAAAACGTTGAGAAATTCGTTAATGACTGACTTTGAGACTTGAAAATCGAAGGAGATTCAGAAGATGCCATACGCAAGGAGATAGACCAAGTGAACTTTGTGAGGAGCAGCGCAAGACTAGTTTCATACCTTACCGCCTGGGTTGATTGGCAACTTAAAGAAGCTGGCCCTCGTCTTCTCTAAGGAGTACACTTCTTATTCAACCTGCGCAAGAAGCACGACGAATCCCTTCTAGACTACATCAAGAGATTTAAGGTAGAAAAGGCAAATATCGCAGGATAAGATGACCGAATCACGTCGTCTGCCTTCAAGAAGGGCCTGCCAATTGAGTATGACTTATACTACAAGCTGATTATCGCTCCCAGTCAGACTCTAGTAGAGGTCTTCACAACTATGTAATGCCACGCACTCTAGGACGACGATCAAATCGACACAAAAAGGTATACCAGGTAGGTCGATCAACTGACTAAACATGCAGGTCAGAGAAGGAGCTATGAGGTGGATTGGGACTCAAGGGGACGTTCTGGCATATAAGAACTACACTAATTTCTCCATCCCATACTTCAAATTTTAGACTAAGTGAAGGACAAGCCTTGGGTGAAGAGACCACCACCCTTGAAGGGAGATCCAGCCAAGAAGGATATCCGAAGATAATGTGCCTTCCATGGGACACACGTGCATTTCAAAAATGACTGCTTTGCTTGGAAAAAGCACCTCGAAGAACTAGCGAGAAAAGGCTAATGCACAGAATTCGTAGTAAAGAAGGTCATCCAGCAGATCAAGGACTGCGATGCAACCAAGGAACCTTCCTAGAAAGTCATAAGGATTAACACAATCCGGGCCGATTCCGAGGAGTCTGGGCTAAATGGTCGATTCGTGGGCAAGTCATGGATTAGCAAGATCAACGCTGTCACCTCTTCCACTCATCAGAAAATCCGTTACCCAATCCTTGGAGGTGGTATTGGGCAGATCAACAATGATCATGCAAAGCAAGATGATGCTACCGAGGGCTAAAAAAGAGCAAGCAAACACAGTTCATACTAATAAGTTGGACAAAACAAATGGAGCAGGAAGTAGATACCATTCCTGACAGTCGAGCAGACCAGAAAGGAGAGGGAATAGTTACCCAATAGAAATCAAAGAGTCAAGACCAAGTTGAGGGAATCCGTCTAGAGGTCTATGTTGAAGAAGGATGGAAGCCCGAGGAGGAAGTTGAGCTAATACCCTTTGATCTTGACTAGCCAGAGAGAAAAGCACGGATCGGCTCGCATCTAAGCCTAGAAGAGAAGGTGGAAGTGACTACCTTCCTCTAGAACAACAATGATGTGTTCACATGGTCACCGTCTGACATGCATGGAATTGACTTGCAAATCATGAGTCACTGATTGCATGTTAACCCAGCTAGTAAGCCAGTGGTGCAGAAGTGACAGAACTTCGCTCCTGATTCAGTTGCCATCATTGAAGCCGGGATCGACAAGCTCCTAGCTGTCGACTTCATTGAAAAAGTCTCCTATAGAGAATGGCTGGCTAATATTGTTCTAGTGGCGAAGAAAGACAATGGCCAATGGAGACTTTGCATCGACTACACTTACCTCAATAAGGCATGCCCAAAAGACAACTTTCACTGCCAAGAATTAATCAACTCGTAGATTCAACTTCCAGTAACCAACTGCTTAATTTCATGGATAGCTACTCCTGCTGCAATCAAATCATGATGCATGAAGACGACAAAGAGAAGACTTCTTTCATAATAAAAAAAGGCACATACTACTACAAAGTCATGCCGTTTGGGCTGAAGAACACTAGAGCAACTTACCAAAGGCTTGTGAACAATATTTTCAAGGAGCAGATATACAGGACTATGGAGGTTTACGTGAATGACATGCTAGTCAAAGCTCCCTAATGGGCAAATCACATCAAGAATCTTGCTGAAGCATTCAGTCTGCTCCGAGAGTACCACTTGAAGTTGAATCCGAACAAGTGCACATTTGGAGTCTCATCCAGTTGATTTTTGGGATACTTAGTCACCTAAAGAGGCTTCGAAGCACATCCAAATCAAATCAAGGTCATCTTCAATATGAAGTCGCCTGCCACAACAAAGGAGATAGAAAGTCTAACAGGTAGGGTAGCAACTCTCAATCAATTCCTCTCAAGATCTACCGATAAGTGCAGACTATTCTTCAAAGCCTTGAAGAAAGGACAAAGAGACAAGTTGGATGAAGAGTGCGAAGTAGCATTTCAAAGCTTACCTACCTCACTTCATCTCCCTTGCTCTCAAAACTCGTACCAAGGGAAGATTTGTTCATCTGCCTGGCGGTGTCCAACTCAGCAGTTAGTTTAGCTCTCATCCGAGAAGAGCTGGGGGCACAACATCTAGTATTCTTGTTCCCCCGTTTAGTATTTATTCCTATGATGGAGGGGCAAAGTTCCCCATTGCCTTGTAAACCATTGACTGGTCAAAACATCAACTTTCTTTAGCGGACTTCTTAAAAATATAGCAGACTTCTTAAAAATATATAACTTGCGCCCCAAGTTACTAATTTCTAATCAAGCGATTGTGAATTTGGGTGAGGAATATCTCCCAAGTAAGTTCTTTTCATGCCTCAGACTAGTGAGGACTTCACAACTTATCTCAGTAAAAGATTGGTAATTCTGGCCAGAATGAATGATAATAAAGTGGACTGTTTTAGACAGAACTACGTTTTACAAAACTTAGGAAGAAAAAATCAACTCTAGAAAAGGAAAAAAAAAGGGCCAGAACTCCATTTCTGCCTGATCCAGGCTAGGGTGAGTATGTCCATGCTAGACTGAACTGTCAACAACATTAACTGTTAAGCTTCAGCTGTAAATCGATACCAAAGCTTGATTTTGGCAGAGCTTTAATCTATTTCAAGCCCTAGAAGGCTTTTTGAATGGGCAGAACTGCAACTTCTTTAGTCTGAATAGGGCAAAAGTGGCTAGACTTGAGGATTACTGAGCCAAAACTGTACTACGGTACTTGTTCTGCTTGGTCAGGGCTCTGCTTGTCTTGGCTTTTGCTGAACCAAATTTGTAACGAGAGAAGTCTCGTTTTCAATGACTTATTTCTCTAAGTCTAAACTTGGAATTTCTGATCTATAGCTGGCTTCTTTTGTGGCTCAAATGAGCTTTTGGTTACTCCAGTTTGTTTTGAAGGTTCTCAGTGATCAAGTGATCATTTTGAGTTTTTGCCTTTGGTTGGTTTTTGATTGTTTGATTGATTGATGAATTGAGTGTGTGTGGTGCTCTATTCACCCTCCCCTATATTTGTAGAAAATGCTTTGGAGTAGGGTTTCTTTCTTTTAATAATGGACGGCAAATTTCTCAAAGATTTATTTTAAATGCAAAAGAAAAAAAAGGGTTCTATAAGCTCTGGCAGATAAGCTCTCAATAGTCAATTTTTAAGACAAATCACTTCTCTGTTTTTTAAAGAGAACCTAACCCCTCTTTAATTCTAACGGCCCTTTATGAGAGCTTAAAAGCCGTGATGGCTAGTTTGATTTTCCAGTTTGAACAACTCTCTGTTTTCCTGCTTATCTCTTTTTGAGAACATAGCCTGCGTATCCCTTGAAAGATGATGCCTTCCTTGGAGTAAAAATGTTATCTCTAAATATATAAAAGGGTTTTGATCTTCTAATGGTCAGAGATTGAGAGATGTCTCTTCCTAGTTGCTTGCTTTTGTTAACCTTTCATCAACCTAGTTGAGAATTTTGACTTTTCTAAGTCAGAAACATCACGTGGGTCTGTTCCTGTTTTGGGCTTTTTCTTTTTAATCATGGCAAGCCCGAGTTGATCCATGGGCTGACTTCTTCCGTTTCAATGTTTTTTCGAGACCCAAGTTTTATTCTTTTATGTTTTTAGGCAGATCCTGGGCTGGGCTTCCTTTGATTTGGGCTTTTGATCCCTGTTTATTTCGCAAAGTCCCGACTGCTTGGGCCTTGTGGCCCTATTCTGGGGTTTTCCGTGTTGGGCTAGGTGCGCAAGATTTTGGCCCAAACAATGCCCCCTTGAATCTGAACTGTTTTGGAAACGGTTTTTTTCTTTAACCTTTTAACGGTTCAGATTGAATCAAGTTGCCAATTAATGTTGCGCGCCACTCTTTTCCGTTTCAATTGACCCACGTGCGCCACGTCTTGTCTATCGAGCTAGACTTCATGGGAAATTGGGTAGTTACTAGCTAGCTATTATCAGCTGACGCCTCGTCTTCTCTACGATTTTGAACTCTTTTTAAGAAATTTGAAACTCCAACACCTGTTCACTTCGAAACCTAGATATTTTCCAGTCTTTGATTTCTTCCCATACTTTTTAAAAATCTTTCGCCCTCTTCTTCAAACGGACCCTACCTTCCTTCAGTTTGATTCATCTGCTTTAGCTTTGAACCTGAAAATGTCTTCTCCAAACACTCGCGCCAAAGGTTCCTCCTCCTCTGTTCCCCCTGCCTATATTACTGGAGCTGGCGTAGATAAACACGCCACTGAGGTTCGGAGCAAGCTCCATCCTTTTGCCCAAAAGAATCTGGACCATAATGTCCTTCATCTTTTCGAAAACACCCTGGTGCTGGGCCCTCACTGGTTTGGCCCTGTGCTTCCAGAGTTCTTCTGCTCTAGCTTCCCATACTTGGGTTAGCAAGAATCTGAGCAGCTCATTCTCCTCGAGTGAAGTGAGAAACAGTCCAGTGAAGTGGGCTGACTGGATTGACAGGCTCATTCCGAGATATGGGGCTCACTGGAAAATGGCTGGAATTTATGATGCATTCCTCTTGTCCAAACAATCTATCAATAGGGACGAGAATCTGCTCGCTGCCGCCTTCTACTTTGGAATTCTGCCAGCAACACGTTGACTTCTGTGTAGGCCTTATGGCCTCAACCCTACTGGACATGGCTCAAGTCTTTGGGTTCAGGCCCCATGGAAGAATCAGGAGAAATTATCAAAGCCATTCACTATCTCTCTAGCCACAATAAACCGGAACTGCTCCTTCTCCAACTATTTGAAGAAGTTTATATTTCCGAACCGTTCTTCCGCAGCAAGGATCAGCAGCACATGATGTTCCTTCTGTACTGGCTGAACAAGTTTATATTTCCGAACCGTTCTTCCGCAGTTTTGCTTGAGTACAGGCACCTGGCAGAAGCCCTTCACAATCACACTGACATTGGTCTTGGACCTACAGTTCTGGCTCATTTGTTCAAGAACTTGCACATTGCTACCCTGGAGAACCCACTAAACCTGTCTGCTCCCTGCGCATTTTGGATGATCCAGATCTAGTTGCAGGTCTACTTCCCAGAATTGAGGTTTCCATACATAATTCTGCCGAAAACCAAGTTCTGGCCCTTCCTCTAATGTCTGCAGAAGTGCCTAAGTACTCGATCGAGGAGTACCCTGATGTTTTTTAGGCACGATACTAAGAGGTTAGCAGCTCAGTGGCAGGTGGTGATCAGAAAGACCTATCCTTGGTTTCAGCCTGGATACCGGCTGTTCGAGAAGGAGCCAGAAGAGGAAGCAACCAGAATTGATTTCAGGAAAAAATTCCTGAGTGTCACTCTGCCAAGGGATCTGCCCCATGGAGGTGGAAGCCTCCCAATTATCATTTGGGGGTAGAAGTGTACCATCCCAACTTGGCTGCCCACAGCTCATTTCACTCAAATCCTATAGGAGCTGCAATCGGGCCCCTAGAGAGATGCAGATGATCTGGAAGTGCACAAGGATGCTAGATGTGCAGTCAACAAGATAAATAGCAGTGCACATGCTCTCTATCCAACCTAGGAACCTAATTCTTGCAGTTCTGCTGAGTTTGATGCTTGGTGGAAGGCTAAATTCCAGGGCCTGCCTGCTTCCAGCACTGGACTAAAAATCCTTTTTGATGGCTGGGATTCCTGGGTAGTTCATGCAGGAGAACAGACTCACAGATTTATGGTGCAGACCATAAAAGACATTAATGCCCAAGCTATAGAAGGTAGGTTCCTGATTCTTCCTGTGCTTTATTCATTCTTTGACGAAAAACGTTGGTGGCCAATCTGTCCAGGCTGGAGAGGTGATTGGTAAGTTCTCCATTATTCCTATCCCTTCTATTATTTTCCTGCTGGATTGATTTCTGACTGGCTTTATTTTTTGTGCAGTCACTTCTGTTATCTCAGCTGGAGCCTTGGAGCTTCCCTCTGGAGATGAAGAGGATAAGGTTCAAACAGAACAAACAACAGTGGAGGCTACTCCTCATGGCAGAAGGAATCAGAGGAAGGAGACTGCTCCAGCCCATGGTAGTGCTGCTCAGCCTGCGTCCTCAAGTAAATTCTGGATGTCTTTAGCCTTATTATATTATGCTATCCCTTGTTCTAACAATTTATTGCCTATTTATTGCAGTTGAAAGTCCTCCTCCTCCCCCTACTAGGTCAAAAAAACTTAGAAAGAGGACTGTGGTGGAGTATTGCCTGTTTATTATAGAACTGCAGCAGCTCCCATCACCACTTCTGACACAGATGAAGAACTAAGGGAGGCTTTCGGGGTAGTGGAGTAGGAAAAAGAGCTAGAAGAAGAAGAAGGACCTTAAGAAAAGACGAAATAAGTGGAAGAAGAGGTGAGTCCTTTTGACTGCATCAGCGATTCTTGTCTTTTGATTTCCTCTGTTCTGACTTCTGTATTTCTATAGGAGGAAATCCCCGCTGAAGTGATTGCAGAGAGCATCGCATTGGTGCAGAAACAACAGGAGGCCCTAATGGTAGAGCTGACTAGTTCGGAGTTGGCTCTTTTTGAGGATGCAGAGGCAAAACACTCCACTGCTATTCTGGCACCTGAGAAACAAGTGGAGCAGTTTGTATCAGAGTCTGTGGAGCAGGCAGAACTTCCTGTTGCAGCCCCATAACCTAAAGTGGAGGTGGCTGCTCCTGTTCCTGGATTGGTGGTAATTTTCCGTTTTAACTATGTTTCCTGCAGTTCTGTCTTGTTTTTGCCTCTTAACTATTTAGTCTTTTCAGGTAGAAGTGCCTAGGGCTGCTAGGGTTTTGGCAGTGATGACCAGCCTTGTGAAGCCTCCAATTGTTGCTGTGAGTGCTACTCCATTTCTGGGCTTCTTTCTTTTCTGTTTCTGCCTGGTTTTGACTTTCATTCTTTTCTGCAGATGCCTATCCATTCCCTTCCAGGTTCATCTGCCACTGCTTCCTATGCTGATCCAGAGCTAGCAGAATTTGAGGCTATGGATCTGGACGCCCAGTTGGACAAGCTTGAGAAACTCAGCTCTACTCCTGGCAAGGGCAAGTACAAGGCGGTGGATGAGGAAGTGGATAGAGTGAAGATCTAGCAGTCCACTGAACTGGATTTGGATGAAAGTCAAGAAGCTGTGGACCAACTAATGAAAGACTTGGACTTGATGCATAGGGAGAACATGGCTCCCAGGCCTATCCTTGAGCTCAGCCTGGGTTTAGCGAGGGACGTGCTCAATCTCCATAACCGCTATGAAGATCTTAAGCCCTCCTTTAAAGCCTCTGAGTTCTACAAGGCCACTCATGAAGCCAACTTGGCTGATTATGCCAAGCAGAAAACAGAATTTGACCAAATGGTGCCATGCTATAAAGAAGCCTAGACTGCTGCTAACAAGCTGGAGAAACAAATTGAAGAACTTCAGAAAAAGCTGGCTGGGCTGAGAGAGAGGCAGAACAAACTTGAGGCTGGATTGGGCACCAAGACCAAGGCTACTTTCCTCGTGTAGAACATGGTAGCAGCTTCTAGGATGGCGTTGGAGATTGCAGAAGCCTCTCTTCATCAAGGGATGCTTCTTCAACAAGAGATTTCTACCAAGAAGACCGGGTTGCAAGAAACTCTTAGAAAATTAGGACTTTAGATTCCAGTTTTTAGAAAATGTAATAAACTTTAGTCATGGAGAATGACTAATAAAAAGTTTTAATTATTTGTTGCAATTTTCGGACTTTTAATTTCTTTTGATGAAAATAAAATGAAGTAGGAAAAACAAAAAGGAAAGTAAACTTTTAACAAAATCAGAAGAAAAATAAATTCTGAACAGAACTTTAAACAAACTGTTTTAAACTTGTTCATTCTCTATCCCAGGATCTGTTCGTGCAGCCAGTGAGTCCCGCATGGTTGGATAAAAAAATTTCACACACTTGCCATTATTTGGTGCAGCATGAACTTCCCTATCTCGGTCCTGTAATCTCTATACCCCCATTCCGAGGATTTGCTTAATTATGAAAGGACCCTCACATGTAGGTGACCACTTCCCATAACCAACTATGTGTGTTCCAAGGGGCAGAACTGCTTTCCAGACTATCTCTCCTTTTTCAAAGCTCTTGTTTTTAACTCTTTTGTTGTAGGCCCTTGATACAGCCTGCTTTCCTACTAAGAGTTTGTTGAGGGTATCAATCCTGCTTGTATCCAATCCTTCCAATTCTAGCAGTGTCACGCCCCAGACCCGAGAGTAGGTGAAAATCTCGCGCCCGACGCGTGAGAAAATAAAATAAAAAGAAAATAAAAAGAAAGCCGAAATAGGGTTTAAAATAAACTTCTCTTATAAAAATAGCTCCAAAATCTTACAACTTTACAAGAAATAAATAAAGCTCTACTACTGTCATCTAATTCAGCCTCAATCGATTTAGTCCTCAACTTGCCCACTAATTCATCTGAAAAATTAAACAGAGTGAGGGATGAGCAACCACCGCTCAGTGAGTAGATTATGTAATATGCCAGTCAAGCAATGCCGTTTTACCCACTCTAGAAAATATCATGAAAAGATACACCAATCCAGATCATATCACATCATCCCTTCATATATCGATTATCCTTCATAGCATGTAACCAACCACGTGACCCCTACTGGTGTTACTGCCCTATGTCCCCGTGTGGTACATCTATCCCTCGGATACCCCAACATTGAAGTTCTCATGTTCCATGAATAATACATACTTCACAAATATTCCAGTCAAAATATATATATAGTGTGAAAAATTGCACCAAATTAGACATGCTTGACTTGAAATAGAGAGATATTTGTAAATAGAACAAATCCACGATAATTCATGGTTTTCATATTTTATCACAAAATAAGAACTTTTAGAACACAGTACATAAACCACTCATCTCGATAATGAGAGCCCTTAAAATAAATTGGCAAGACAACCCATTTACCTATCTTCACGTACTATCACTTAAACCAAGCTCCAAGAGTTTCACCACCACTCTTTCTTCTTCTTCTTCTTCTTCTTCTTCTTCTTCTTCTTCTCTCTCTCTCTCTCTCTCTCTCGGTTCATTTGCTATGCACATAATGTCCTATATATAAGGAAATAAGTTGGCAGTAAAACACTTCCTATTGGATAGTGTAATGGTGGTTGATTATACTTCCTAACCAAGTAATATATATATATATATATAGCAGATAAGGAAGAATGTCTTTGTGATTCTTCCAACTCCTCCAATCATATCCTTTTCTCTTTGGTGAGTTGGCTAACCTTGCTACTTAACATGGTTTTCACTTTGACACGTACAAGGCCTATGAATTGACAAAGACAACTAACAAGGTCTATTAATACATATCCATATATAATTGAATAAGATATTTATGTAATAAGATATAAATATATAAGTATTATTATAATAATTAGTATAACAATAATATTTTCATATATGTACCAAGATAATTACACATACTAATATATATTTAACTAAGATAATTATATATTAAAAATATAGGGTTTCACAAGCAGCATGGCTTGAGAATAATCCTCTCCAACCAGATTGTGTTGATGAGCAATTCTGAGGGACTGGACTGCTATCTCCATAGGCAGAATTGCATCATGGCCATAAGTCAGAGCATAGGGGGTCATGCCAGTTGCCTCTCTTTTTGAAGTTCTAAATGCCCACAGAGTTTCTGACAACTTCTCATGCCACTGCTTTGGATTTTTCTCAAACATTTTTCTGATAATGTTGATGATCACCTTGTTACTTGATTCTGCATACCCATTGGCTTGAGCATAATAAGGAGTGGATTGAAGCAGCTCGAATTTGAACGCTTCTACCATATCTAGCATCTCTTCATATATGAAAGAAGATCCCCTGTCAGTTGTGATCGATTCTGGAATGCCAAACCTTTGTACAATCTACTCTTCTATGAAAGTGATGATCTCTTGAGGTATAGTAGACTTAACAGGCCATGGCTTTATCACTAGATTCATGGGAACTGAAGGAGCTTGCTGGATTGGACCGTGCCTTTGACAAGCCTCACACCTCTTAGAATAGTCAATGCAATCCTTCATCATAGTTGGCCAGAAGTAGCCATACCTCTTAATTAACCAGCACATCTTTCTTCCTCCTTGATGAGCTCCACAAATTCCTTCATGAGTTTCTCCCATGACTTTCATGTATTCTTTCTTTCCAAGGCACCTTAGAAGTACCTCATCTTTGCTTTTTCGGACAAAGTCTCCATTCCACATAAGGTAGTTTAGAGCCAAGATTCTGACTCTTTTCTCAGAAGGTAGGGTTGGATATTGCAAGTAACTTATGATAGGACTTCTCCAATCATCTTCAGTGATTATTGCAGAATTGACATCTATCTCCATCCCTCTGGTCAGAACAGATGGTAGACTTTTCTTTCCTACCTTGATGATCCTTTGCACACAGTCTTCAGGCATTTGTGTACCTATTGCTACCTGAGCCAATTCATTGGCTGCAAAGTTTTCTTCTCTAGGGATATGTTCCCAAGTGGCTTCTCTGAATTCTATAAGAAGGTTTCTGGTTGCCACTAAATAGACAGCCAAAGAAGGACTTAGACACTTATATTCTCCAGCAATCTGTTTCAACACAAGCATAGAATCTCCCAAAATTTCCACAGATTTGATTCCTAATTCTACCAGCATTTCTAGGCCAATTATTAAAGCCTCATATTCAGCCCTGTTGTTGGTGCACTGGAAATCTAACTGGAAAGAATAACAATGTCTAATCCCTAGTGGTTCTTCCAAAACAATTCCTGCGCCAGAAGCTACATCAGTTTTTGACCCATCAAAGTACAGCTTCCAAGGTGTGAGGTGAAATGAATAGATAGGATTATTAAGGCAAGTATGAGCTCTAGTCAGCAGATCTGCATTTGCTATGTCCAAAGAGTCCATGTTTTCAATCTCTTCTCCTAGATGATCTGCTAGGAAATCTGCTACAGCTTGTCCTTTGATAGCCTTCTAACATATCTGAAAGCAAATTATGTCAAAGCTAGAGTCCATTTTCCAATTCTGTCTCTCAACATTGGCCTTGTTAGCATGTATTTGATTAGATATGTCTTAGCAATGATGTAGATGGTGAAAGGCAACATGTAGTGTCTGAGTTTCACAACAGTGAAATATAAGGCTAGGCAAAGCCTTTCAATTGCAGAATATTTCCTTTCTACTTCTGTCAGAGTTCTGCTTAGATAGTAGACTGTCTGTTCCTTCCCTTCTTTGTTATCTTGAACTAACATACTCCCAATGGACACTTCTAACGCAGAAATATATAGTTTGAGTGGTCTGCCTCTCTTTGGTGGGGACAGAACTGGTGGATGTGAGAGGTAATGTTTGATTTCCTCAAAAACTTGTTGATGCTACTCTTCCCATTTAAATGTCTATTCCTGTTTCAACCTTAGCAAGGAAGAGAAAGGCTGGATTTTTCCTGCATAATTGGATATGAATCTCCTTAAAAAATTAATTTTTCCTAGGAGACTCTGTAGTTCTTTCTTGTTCCGGGGTGGTAGAGCTTCTATGATGGATTTTGCTTTATTTTTGTCAATCTCTATACCTCTTTGGTGGACCAAGAAACCTAAGAAATTTCCTGCCTTAACTCCAAAAACACATTTCTTAGGATTCATTTTCAACTTATGTTGTCTCATTCTTAGGAATGTCTTTCTCAGATTTGATACATGATCTCCTTCCTCCGGGGATTTAATCACCACATCATCTATATATACTTCCAGAGAATGCCCTATCATATTATGGAAAATGGAATTCATTGCTCTTTGATAAGTGGCTCCTGCATTTCTTAAGCCAAAAGGCATTACAGTATATCATGGCAATGCACCTATATGTCCTGGGCACATGAAAGCTGTCTTGTGGATGTCTTCTTCTACCACCATAATCTGATTATTGTCTGCATTGCCATCCATAAAAGATAGCATTTGGTTATGAGCAGCTCCATCTACCAGCATAGGATATTCATCCTTGGGAGATACTTCATTTAGATTCCTGTAATCCACACAGATTCTAACTACCCCTATTTTTCTTTCCAGAACTGGTACAATATTGGCTAGCCAATCAGCATAAATGGTTGGTCTGATGAATCCTGCTTTGAGCAATCTTTCTATTTCTTCTTTGACCTTCAGTTCTGTGTCCATAGACATCCTTCTTCTAGCCTGTTTGACTGGAAGGTAACCTTCTTTAATTGGCAGCTTGTGTTCCACTAGCTTTCTGTCTAATCCAGGCATCTCATGATAATGCCAAGCAAAACAGTCTCTAAAATCATGCAAAAGTGCAATGATTTCACTCTTGAGTGGTTCTTCCAACAATGCACTAATGAAAGTGGGTCTAGGATCCTTTTCTGTCCCTAAGTTTATTCCCTGCAGTGGATCTTCTACTTCTGATAAAAAATCATCTAGTGCTGCTGGTGCAAAATCTAGTACTTCATCCTGCAAACTCTCTTCCTGCTCTTCAGTGCTCTCATGGGTGAATTCTGCCATATTGATGGCTGGATCCTGCATAAAGAGCTTCATTTCTTCCTAATATATGAACAATCTTTTTGTAATGGATCGGATTGTTGCAGCTCGATCCTTCTCTTGTTGATTGGGACTAAACATCAGAGTTCTGGAGGTTTAGAATGAAAGGTCTATTCCAGTCCTCTAGAGAACTGGCTAATCCATCTTCAATGAGTCTCTGGGCCATGACACCATGGGGGCGGCCGTTCTAGTTGACTCCAAGGAAGGTGAAAGGACCAAGGTCATCATGATAATACCTTGCATCAAAACACATGACAGAGGGCAGAAATGGTCATGGATCGGCCTCTACTTTCTCCATGTATCCTTCTTCATTCCAAATGGCTAATTGTTGATGTAGAATGGAAGGAACACATAAGCTCTGGTGAATCCAGTCCCTGCCACAAAGAAGTGGTAGAAAAATCCACATCCAGGATTCCATGAGTCCTGGTGATGCCCCCAACGAAATTGGTGACAGTTAAACGTGTTGGAATTAAATCCTTCTCTGTTCTACCCATCTTGCTTAGCAAGCTATGGGGTAAAAGATTAATGGCTGCACCTCCATCTACCATGACCTTGGGAATAGGAATACCCCCAAAGTTTGGTGTTATGAACAAAGGTCTGAGGTGATTGTCCATCTCCTTGGTTGGTTTGGAGAAGCAAAGCTGTTCTACAGCCAGTTTCATGGCAGTTCCACCTGTCTTGGCAGTAGGTGTTTGCTGTTCTGGTGCCTCTTCTACTTCTGCCAACCTGCACTCAAAGCTTTCTTGGGAGAAAACGTCTCCCTCCAGAGTGTTTTCTTGCCCTTCTGCTGCCCTGAATTCTTCTGGCAAGATGAAGACCATGTTGATGCCCAGATCACCCTGCAACAAGCTCTCCAATTTTGCACTAAAATCCTCAGTTTCTTCATCTAGTTGTCCATCATACTCCATCTGCTCTTCTCCATATTCTTCTGTCCAGTCTCCCTGTTCTCCTGTCTCGATGAGTCCGTTCTGGTCATCTGCAGATGGTTCATAGTCCAACTGCTCCTCTTCATACTCTTCAGTCCAATCTTCTTGTTCTTATACTAGAATAGGTTCTGATTCACCTTCTGCTTGTGAAGGCTCAAGCTGATTGACTGAGGATGAGGCAAGATGGATAAAGGGCCTGCTTGGAGACTCTGCTTTTACCAGCTTTTGTGGTTGGCAGGTTGTTCTAGATTCTTCCCTTCTCTGGCAGAACTGGTCACTGGAAGTACCTGTGTATCAACCTTGTTCTTGAGGAAGGTGAAATATTGCCTTTAATCTCTTCTGAGTCCTGGTCAATTCCAGAGTTGGTCTACCACTTTTTCCCACAGAATACCATCTATCTTCCATGATAGTTGCCAAGGGCTTTTCATTCCCGGGCATCTTAATTGGTATTTCCTTCTTAGGCTGCTCTATCTTTCTTCTGTTGTACTGAGCAGGCCTCAGATAATCCTTCTGTTTGGTTCTGTTTTTAGATAGAGCCGGAGCAGGGGCTCATTGGTATGATGTTCCAATCTTGTCAAAAACACTAGGTGTGGGCTGATTTTGCTTGTCCAGAATTACTTCTAGGTCAGTTTCACACTTGCACTTGCTGCAAAGCACTACCCTAGCCGAGATGGTTGTCTTTGGCCTTTGACTAGTCTCCCTCATAACTCTTCTGTCTCTGCTGGAACTAGCTTCTGTTGTTGGTTTGCCTCTCCTCTATTTTGGCCAATTTAGGTTGACCAATTTTAACCTTCCTGTATGACATCCCTGAAAACAACACAACTATTGGTGGAATAGTTCCAAGAGTTGTGTCACCTGCAATACTGTCTGCCCTTGAGTTCTTCTGGCTTGGGCAACCTGTGGGGTATCTCTATTGCCTTCTGTAACAACATCTCATCAAATAAAGCATCCACCTTGGTCAGATCAAAGGAATAAACCTTGTTCTATGTTGGTTTGTTTGGAACAAACCCTCATGTGAATGGCGGTGGCTTCTAGTCCTTTGGTGGCTTTGTAAGGGCCTTGCAGCTGATGGGATGTTTCAATTTTGTCATCTTTGCTACTGCAATTTCTCTTTCCTCCGAGCCTTTTGTGTCTTCTTCTAATTCTACCTTAACTAGGTGGACTGAAGAAGAACAAGTCTTGTAGTATGTGCCTTTGGAAGAGTTCCTCTTATGTTGTTCTTCCCTAAGTCGCTCCTCATATTTAGATGCTTTATCTGACAGTTCTGCCAGGTCCCCAAATAACATTCCATCAAATCTTTTTCTCAGAGAGATTTTAAGGGCGGCTTGAGCCATCTGAATGAAGTGTCTTTCTTCCATAGGGATCCGGCATTTCATTTTGAGCTTTCTGAACCTAGTTATGAAGTCTTGAGCAGGTTCATCTTCACCCTGTTTGAGGGCAGCAAGATCACTGATGGTGATTTCCGGCTGGATCCTAAAATAGTAGTCATGGAAAACATTTTCCATATGCTCCCAAGTTTGAACAAAATTGGCTGGTAGACTGTTGTAGCAGGTGAAAGCTTGTCTAGAGAGAGAATTTCCAAAAAGCCTTAGCTTTAACAAAGGGTTATTCTCTATGGCTATGCACTGGACAGAGAACCTGCCTATATGCTCAACTGATGAATCATGGGGGTCCTCTCCATTGAACAAAGTGAAGTTTGGGACCTTGAAACTTGGTGATAGAGGTATCTGATCAGTGTAGGCCGGATATGGCTTTCTGTAGGTGGGCCTTTCTCCTCTTCTGGCCTTAGGCTCTATCATCTCCCTGATCATTCTCTGTAGTGCCCCCATGTCATTTAAAGCATTGACAGGGTGCATATTTCGTCTCTATTTTGGCTAGATGTGATCAATCCTGTGCTCCATCCTGTATGGCCTGAGCAGAACTTCCTCCCTGTGTTCTTCCTCTTCTTCAAAATCTGGATGATTCCTCTAATTTGCCCCCGATCTGTTCCTATCATTGTTGCCAAAGGGGTTGATTCCCCCTCTGCCCCTTCTGCCTCTTGCTGGTGGAAGGAATGGATTAGGATCCATCCTTCTGGATCTGTAAGGCAACACAGCTAGTGCGTCAGGCAGAAGTGCCAGGGGTTGATCACGTGGGGCTACAAGTTGTGGAATGGGTGGAGGTTTTGGCTGATTTTGTTGGACCTGAACTAGTGCAGGGCCTTCTGGTCGAACTGGGCCTTCCTGCTCTTGGATGGGAAGGGCTCCTCCCCTCTGTCCAGCTTGGATTTCTCCATGCCCTTGTACTCCAGCTATCTGTGCAATGAGAGGATTCTTTTGATATGACCAAGCCAATCCTAGTGGAGGGCCATAAGGGAGGTCTAGTTGCTGGACTACAACATCTGGGTTTGGAATTCTGGCCATGGCAACCTCACGGTCCTTCTTGAACTGCCTGCTAACTTGCCATTGCATCATGGTTGTCATGTTATTCAGAGTATCCTGGCTCCTTTGTGCTGGGAAGAAGGCTTTCTTGTGACTATACAGGGCAACAACAGAAGAGTTGAGTTCACTATATATTATTAGCAAGGGAACTCTTCACCAAAGACATGCTCTCTTTCATTTCAAACATCCTGGTTTCATGGCTGGTCTCTTCGGCTGAAAGCTTGCTGGTCATATTAACATTCTTCTTATCTAACTCATTGAGCTGAGCATAAGAGGGGGCGATAGCAGACGAGTTCTGGATGGCCTTAATAGCAAAAACTACTCATTTTTGAAGCAAAGTGACAGCCACATCCTTTTGCTTCTCCAAGGAAAGACTTGAGAATGTGCCAAGATGACTAGCCTGATGTATATGATCAACCAGCTTGACGCAAGCAGACTGGCTCGATAGAAAGTTCGCCTTGAGCATATCATACACACATGCATCCCCTGTAGAGTTGGACATGTCAAGGTGTCAACGACCCCAAATCAACTCCATGTTTGACTACTTGTGGTTAGATAACTAGATTGAGATGGTTAGGTGGAGGAGCATTCCTCCCAGTTCGATCCTTATCCCTTGACTGGTGCAGACCACATGAACTTCGGGGAGTAATGTCAACAGCTCTTTGTTTCTCAGTAGGCGAACAGATTAGGGAATAGACTTCTTTGTAGAGTAGATTGTAGGTTTTGAGCTTGTCAGTTTGAGACTTGAGCTGAATGTCCCAAACATTAGGCAAGCCACCAACAAAGGAGCAACTCCCGCCTGAGTCTTCTCGACAGACAAGACCTCATTTAGAGCGACACATCCCTTGCCCCCGAGGTTCTAGCTTTATCTTTGGAGGACTTGGCATCAACCTTCCTATTTTCAGGAAGTTTGATCGAAGACCCATCCTACTCAATAGCCAAATCATCCGAGCCTGGGCCATATTTCTTACATCTCTTAACATCCTTAGCAGGGGTAGATCCCCAGCTTTCTTCTGATACTTGCTCAATAGCCAGCATCATTCGGGAAACCTCGCAGGGATGTTCAGGGCCCTACGGACCTTAGCCATGTCAGACTCAAGATCTAGCTTCTCCCTAATGTCATTCTCTGGAAACAGAAGACATTATCTGTTGGCTAGCGCAAATCTCACGACCTGGTGCTCCGAGCCGAGGGGATGTGTGTTAACACGTGACATCCTTCTTTTGGATGCGGTGCAGTTATGCGCGGCCGTGCCAACACGGTCTATCGTGCGTCGAGATGGTGATGAGGTTTGGGTAGAAGATGGTTAAATGAAGCGCCTGTTTTGAGTTCGACTCCTAATCAAACGATTGTGGCCGAGAGAGGAACTAATCTCGGTCGTCAGGTTCACAGCCTGAGCTACAAGGCCGTTTAGTGGTGGTGTTGGTGGCGGGTTTTAGGCGGTTCCCCGGCGCGTTGCTCAGAGAGCGACGGTCGTATGATATATGGGGTGAATGAGATGATAACAGAGATGGTGCTCCGGCGCCTTGAAAACTAAGGGTCGTATGATATATTGATGAATGGATTTTCCTTACAATCTACTACTACTCCTAGGAAAGCAAATAAAGGTATTGAAAGTGCATGACAAGAAAATATAATTTGCTCCGTGGGAGGCTTTTGGTTTGGTGTTTGAACCCTTTGAATGTAGTCTTGAGCTTCGTATTTATAGGAGGAGTCCTGGAGGGACAATCGAGGCCGAAAAGACCTACGTGGTGGAGCCTGATCGGGGCAAGTGGGTAGTCAAATCGGCATTTGGGATCATGAAGCATGGTGGTGTGACCCTCATAAATCCTGGTAAATCTCGGCCACTGCCCTGATCGTGGGTTCTGCCCCCTTGGCCGTGGGAACACATTTAATGCCCTGGTCTGGTGGTTGGTGATCTGACCTCAAGTTGTAAGATTACTTGTGAGAATATTTGCGCCTAACCACTCTGATTTCCATCACCAAATCCTCACTTCAGTCACTTCCCTTCTTTCCTCGTGCATTAAATGCTTCTTGCGACTAGTGGGTTTGCTGCGATAGTCAGAGGCATTACTTCATTAAATGGGGCATGGGACCCTAAGGCCACGTGGCGATTTAACCACAGTATCTTCGACTGTGTCCTTTACGGCCTTCGGCTTCGGCCCATAATACCGCGGTCGCGAGGCTGAGAGGATTCTACCTTTGCAGCTTTTCTTTTGTTTTTAGGAAGGCGAAATGCCTAACGAAACGTGGCCATTTCAGTTCATGAGTAGGTGCTAGGGCTGAGAGGAGGTCCCTTCGGTCAGTTTATAACCGTGATTTATTAGGCACAAACATTAACTCCTGATAGACGTTCGGAGTACATTGGGTGAGGGCATACTCCATGGTGCAAAACACCTTCCTGAAGAACTTCAACAATGGGAACATGAAGCCCAATGAGAAGTTACAGCACTTCTACTTCTACTTCTCCTTGGGCTTCAAGTTCTTGTTGTTTGGATCCACACAAGGCACATCATTGGTCGGATCCATACAAGGCGCATCTTCAGTCGAAGACGCAGCCAGCTTGACATGCATGTCATCAAATATGGCAGAAGCATAGGTGGCATGCCACTTCTGGAAGTGAGCTTCATATGTAAAACGGTGTAGATTAGCCACAATTATCTTCTCGTGCACCTTGGAACCTCCCTATAAGTACAAAGGCACCATTGAACTCGGTGATTGACTACCATCATCGAAAGACATGATCGGTGAATAGCAGCAAAAAAAGGAATAAAATTGCAAGTCATATAGCATGTACAAAAGTTATGGCATAAAAACAATTATAAAAGCTACACGTCCCAAGCAACAAGCATGGCTAGAATTGAGCAAAGCCCTAAGGCCAAGAAAGAGCCGCGATCCAACAACTAGGCCGCAGAGCATCTCGTTATGCCAACATCGATGCCTCGGTGACCTGGCTGACTTGGTTATCTTTATCTTCATGCCCATCTACTAGACGACCGATAACTTTAGGATGTTAGTTGCACTACCCTCATCTTGAGTGTATTCGGTCGATCACGGCTTGGGTAATCTAAATGCAAATGACGAGGGTGTCGTTGTGTAGGAAATCAAGGTTGATCAATTCTTTCTTCTGGAAGCCTATCACGAGATTGTCTTCAATTGATGGGAGGCTGGTTAAGACTTGTGAGATAACAGTGGCTTGTTTAATCTTCCTCTTCTTTTCTTTGCTGGTCAGCCCATACTCGTCAGAATTGAACAGGATCGTGTTAATCCTTATGACTTTCTAGGGAGGTTCCTTGGCTGCATTGCAGTCCTCAATCTGCTGGATGGCCTTCTTTGCTACGAATTCTATGCAATTGCCTTCTCTCACCAGTTCTTTGAGGTGTATTTGCCAAGCAAAGCAATCATTAGTGTAATGTGTGTGCGTCCCATGGAAGGCACAGTACCTTCTGATATCCCTCTTGGCCGGATCTCCCTTCAAGAAGGGTGGTCTCTTCACCCAAGGCTTGTCCTTCACTTGGGCGAAAATTTGATGCATGGGATGGAGGACTTGGTGTAGTTCTCATCTGCTAGATTGTTCCCTTGGGATTGTGACTTACTCTTGCCACTGCTCTTGTTGCTATACATGTCGTTTCTTTGACTCGCCTGTTTGGTTGGTTGATCAGCCTACCTAGTAAACTTGTTCACAGCGATTCGATCATCATTCTAAAGTGCTTAGCGTTTCATGGTCATGAAAACTTCTGCTAGAGTCTGGCTGGGAGCGATAGTCATTTCGTGGTATAAGTCGTGCTCGGTTGGTAAGCCCTTCTTTAATGCTAAGAACACGATTCGGCCAAGTTTCTCTTAATGTAGTCTCGAAGGGATTCATCGTGCTTCTTGCACAGATTGAATAAGTGGTCAGGGTTCTTTTTTATCGTCCAATAAGAAGTGTACTCCTTGGAGAAGACTAGGGCCAGCTCCTTGAAGCTGCTGATCAAGCTGAGCAGTAGGGTATTGTGAACACCTTGCACATCAGCACGTTTTCAGCTTTATACAAGATGAGAGCACTCTTGAAGTGCTTGAGATGGCTCTCGGGATCATAATCCCCTTTAAATTGCCTGAAGGATCGCTTCGAAGGAGTTGCCTACTCAATCTCCCTAGTGAACGAGGAAGAGTTCACTTGTTCTATCTCCATGTGTAGGGCATCCTCTAAATCCTCTTCGATTTTCAAGTCTCGAAGTCAGTTATTGATGAATTTCTCAACGTCCTCTCCTCGCAAGATATGTGGTTCACGCCAGTTTTTCTCACGATGCAAGCATTGTTGATTAACTTATTTGTTGACTCATGAGGGCTGACCTCCTCAACTATCCTAGCAATGTGGCGTATTGGTAGACTACGCCTGTGAGGGATTCTTTGTGTCTTGTGACATGAATTGGTTTTTCGGGAGCCGGCCGCGAAGCACGTTTCTTCACATACCTCATGACGAGGGTAAAATGACTGACCTTCTTAAGGGCCTAGCCTCTCATGAACACTTCATTGTGGACCCAGGTGGGCATGAGCATCAGATTGTGGGCCCAACCTCTCATGCAAAAGCTTGTGACATGCTTGCGTGTTGAGCATCTCGTTCTTATCATTCTCCTTGCCTGCTCAGTCCTGCTCTACCTGCCTGGGACCTCTTGAACTACTTACCGGTGCGTTTGTCCATCCTTCTCTCTTTGCCTTGCGGTCCAAGTCCAAGGTCTCGAACCAAGTCTATACGGTCGAGAAGTTGTCCAACAAAGTTGTTTTGGTCTTTTACTGAGGTGTGTTTGACTTCATGGATCGGGAGGAGAGAACTGCATTGTTGTGAGTTTTAAATACCTGCAAAATAGGGGTTAATCTAAACACAAATTATACTTGCAAGTGCACAAGATCAATCATCATTTAGCAAGGCAAGCACGAGGTCATTCCCACAAGGACTGATTTCTTAACTTCGAAGTAATTAAACCTAATTTAACTTAACAAACACTTAGATAAATTAAAATGGAATTTAAACACATAACTTATGCACATAAACACAAGCGGGATTTTTGAACAATTGATTTATAGGCAAATAAGAAAACAACTAATTAAACGCACAAACAAAGGACAATAGAACTAGTTTTCAACAAGATATGACAACACTAGGAAAATGAATCCACTCCTAATACTCTTCTCTAATCTCTTATTCCCTTCCTCTTCGTTACTCAAATGATATTGTTGACTAATTCCCTTTAGCGTGAATTATCTATGGTATTTAGGCTAACTCACATACCCTAATATGCAATTCAACTATGGCATTTAGTCAAATCTGATCATGCAAGAATTCATTAAGTGTAATGGAATCTAGTATAAGCCATGTAACCCCCTAGGAATATGATATTTACCTTAAGCGAATCACAATTTTTAATCAAAAGAAGCTGGTCTCAAACTCCGTATGGTATTTGCACAAGTTTGCATCGAATAACTCAATCAGAAACCTAGATGGTAGCTAAGCATCCAAGCAATTAATCAAGGATAAAATAGTGATTAAAAATCCAATTCAATAGAGCCACGAAAGAGAAATTAGGATAAGAGAACAAGATAATCATATTAGGGTATCATCATGCCCCAGCAAGGAAGTGTTTAGTTACACATAGTTATAAGTAACATCAAAAGAAAAGACAAAAAAAAATAGAACCCACAAAAACTAAAGATATTGCACTTTAGGGTTGATTTTCTTCTCCTTAAAGCGTAACCCCCTTTCTCTGAAATTTTCCACCTCTTTATATCACGTCCTAGGGTCCTAAAAGTTCTCTAAAAATAACATAGGACATCCCAATCCTTAAAGAATAGGTAAAGACATAAAACTAGTAAAGTCTTGACTCAAAATCCTTCTTTGACTGGGAAAGTGGATCAGTTTCTTCATACACACGTCTAGGGTCGTTCCTCCTTCAAGATAATTCCGGAAAAATATGTAAATTGTAGATCTTTATCTTATCTTTCCAACCATATATTTCACACCTTGAGAAAAAATCAGGAAAATCTTCAAATAATCATTCTTCCACAGCTGCACAATTTTGAAGGGATTGAACCTTATGCTGACTTAACTTCAAAGACTGCTCTCATTGGCTGCTCCAAAAATTCTAGAAAACTTCCACAATCATCTTCAAGATCTTAGCTTTCATCTCCAACTGGTCTTGTACAAAAACTCCAAAAATAAGTATACATAATACATAAATGTGTAAATTTATGGACTTATCAAATACCCACAATTTAGATTTTCCTAGTGCTCGAACAAAACAAAACGAAAACTAAAAACAAAAGAACAAACACTTAACGCAAACAAGTGTAGCTAACTTCCAAGAAATAAGCAACAATAACTCAAGACATTATCAAAGGGTTAACCAAACTTTAATTGAACAACTTGGAGTGTAGTGTGTGAAATAGCCAACATTAATACATTCCATGACTTAAGCTTCACACAAGTTAAATAACCAAATAAGAACAAACTTCAACTTCAAATCTCATCAAGGATGTTCACTCCAATAAAAGCACTCGAAATTTGACTAGTTATTGTCACTCATAAATATGTGAGAGGAATCAAAGCAATAGGATGTACTCACATAATTAAAATAAAGGCACATGACATAGTTAAAAGATCTCATGGAAAGATATCGCATACTTGAAAACATTTAAACCATCCAACCATAGTCCTTCCACACCTATTCGCCACATGAGGAACCACACTTCTCCTTGGATCAAGTAGGACTTTCACTAAGGTTGTAATGGGGCTTAAGGTGATGGGTGAAACAAGAAAAATATATGGATGAGCAAATTCTAAGGAATTCATAGAGCTTTCCATGAAAATTATAACAACTTGCACTTTGAGCACAAAACTTCATATTGATACTGTCTTGATTTTTCTTTTGCTTTTTTCACCATTTTTTTTCTAACTTCATTAGCTTTCTAATCAACCCATGTAAGGAGTGTTAGGCCAATGACTCCCAAGCTAGATAGCTTTAGGGCATTAAATGTAAAACACTCCCAGGGCTTAATAACTCGAGTTTAAAAGGTTGTAGGATAAACATATTGAACAATTTATGCAATTCTCCCTTAACAACGAAAATACTCTACAAAACTCCTTAGAAGGGTGTAGGATAAACATATGATAGATAAGGTGATGAGAATTGGGTAAAAACAAAAAAGGCTTGCATAAAAGGTACAAGGGGGTTAACTAGGGATAAAAGTGATACGGGGTGGCTAGAAGGGCTCAAAGGAAAGAAACAAGGCCTATATCACTTCCTAGAATCCATGTGGTTCATGAAGTATGCCTCAAATAGATAATGAAAGTAGTTCTAGCAAAAATTTAGACATCCTCAAGTACTTGACCAAAACAAAGAATAATGAGATCACAACAACTTGTAGACAAGAAACTTGAGGAATATCATATAACACTCAAGAAAGGAAGGCATAAGCTCACAAATTCACATAATGAGGATTACATAAGTCTACACTAGCTCTTATTTATCCATTTAAATCATGTGAAATCCCCTAATCGAAACTCATATTAATATGGCTATGTACATTAGGATTTCCCAAGTCTAATCACAAAAATAAAGCTAACACCAAGATAATGTAAAGAATTAGTGCATGCTCAAAACTTCTTGAAAGTTAATTGTAAATAAAATTCAATGTCATCATAGAATTGGGAAGTGACTACCAAAAACAAATAAACACAAGATGCTTTCTTCCATGAATGTAACAACCTGATCCTAAATCAATTTTTAATTGTTAATTTATTCTAGTAAAAGACTATTTTGCCACTAGAATATATTATTGGGTTTAAAGTTGACTTTTTGTTTGGGAAAGAATTTGAGGATTTTGGTGATACCATTGCGTATAGCTCGACGATAAGAGTTTGCAGACATGCGGCATGCCCGATTCTGAGTTGTAATGAAGGAGGAAAGGTCTAGAAATGGAAATGACGTAATGGAAATTTTAAATTTTGTACTGTAGCAACAATGCCGCTACAGTACCGGGTGCTATAGTAGTCGAGTTCTATTTATTTTCTTTCTCCCTCTGGTTCACTAGCTGCACCTCCCCTTCCTCCTGTTACTATTCATCAGCTTGGTTTTTAGGCGACCACCGTCACATTCAGCCACCGGTTTGGATGGCACCGGTCTCAAATGAACTGGCCCGATGCCCTCCTCCCACCCCCACCCCTCCTCCGCCGTTAACAACAACACTAGTCGCCAGAAAATGGCCAAAACAGCCCGGTTTTTGTCAAAACTTCCCACCGTTCGTTCTCCCTCCTCCGGCCACCGATTCTGACGAATGAGGTATGGTTTCTCACCTACTTTTCGAGCTCTAGCTGATGGTTGGGTAGGATTTGATCAATTTCTAGCCTAGGTGGTTCAATTTGAAACTCAAAGTTTGGCCGGATTTCGGGTTGAAATTCCGGCCACTTCCGGTCATTTTTCGAGGTAGGCCCAAAAAAAGTGGCTACAATCGATGTTCTAAACTTGGGGTAGGAAGCTTGGCCAGCAGTTTGGAGTTTTTCCGGCTGCCGAAAATCTATTT